GAGACTATATTGTCTGTGATTTTTGGCTTCTTAAAGAGAGAAATTTATTGATAAATATATTGTTTTCGCCGTATAAATCTTTATGTTAGGATTACAAAGTATATTATTTCGTTCTTTGATTACATTTATATGTGAGCAGTAACATAGTATTGTAAGCTTAATTATTCGTCAATTTTTAAGACAACACAATTATATAAGTAAAATTATTATATATATATATATATATACATATTCCTCCCAAGACACAATCTCTATGTACATACATATGCACATACATGTATATATGTGTATACGTGTGTACATGTAAACATGTATATTACCAAACAAGTCTTTGAAGAAATTTTTATCTTATAGTCATCGCATCAGCAATATCGTAATGTGAGATTTTGTTACGTTTCTGGCAAGTAAATTTACATTTATTGCAAGTTCGTCTGTTCAAAGCGTTCGAGAAACAAGAATGAAATCCGATAGTGTTGCCTGAATGTTCAAAGTTGGCTCTTTTTTTCTTTTTAAAAATCTAAGTGAGGGAATAATTATCGGCTAATTAAGCTTAGCTTTTGAATAATGTTATTGTGTGAGTTATTCCCTTTCCTGGTATATTTTTTCACACTTAACAACGCGCCATTATTTTCTTATTCGAGGTCCAATTTTGAAGCTTAATTATGCGTTAATTACATGCCACTTGAATTTTTATTAAGGAAAGATTGATACTACAAAAAGAAGAATACATCTTAACTAATTCTCATATCTTTAAGAATACCTGTGTATAATATGAGACATGAGATATTTTTTAACGAGATTAACCATGAGTTCACGCATGTAAAAAATTTCTGAATGTATAAGTAAGATTTATGTAATAATTTGCAGTAAAATCAAAAAAAAGGAAAAAGAAAACAAAACCATCCAACAGAAATCCATATGTAGCAACAACTTTCTCTGTGATAGCATGTGTTGACACTGCGATGGTGGCACAAGGAACGAAAGAGAGAGATATGCTATTGTATTTTCTAACTAACCCTTGTCACGGTAAAAAGACATCGTCAATGATGACATTCCAATCAGTCAGAAATATAAAATGTACTTGTATGAATTTTAAAACGTACGTTTTTATTTTGCGAAAAGAAAAGATTAAAAGTTAATGTTAAAGTATCGAAAAATCTCTATCTCTGGTCAAAACTAACACATTATTTGTTAAACTTGTGTTATCAGAATGAAAAGTTTGATTTAGAATATATGTATTTATACTTTTATACTTGCTCATTTATGATCCATATTTATTTGAGAAGAAATCATATTTTCAAATATAAGAGGATATTTTTGACGTGTAACTATTGTAATTCAATCGTATTTCAGATTTCAGATGGACGAAAAGTATTTATTGTCTTGAAACACACATTGTTTGCTGTATACTTTAATATAAAAAGGACATTATTACATGTTACTATAACCAGATTACCGGATACTTTATTTACCGTAAGATTTTTCGTACAAAATTCCTGCTTATATCGATATCATTTTAAAGACAGATTTAACAATCTGGCCAACTATACGTATATTATACATTTTATACAATTATTAGGAAATTTCAAATTGTACAAAAAAAGAGAGATATTTATAACACCTGATGATACTACGGAAAAGAGTCTTCAGTGACATAGCACCCATTTATAGACGCTCAAACGATGCAAGAGATGGACAAGAGTCCAAAAGTTCTCTGAATAAACGTCAAGAAAGAATGACAGAAATCTTTGATTAGAATATCTTTAGACATTTTAAGAAAATATTTAGATGTTTGCGTTATATGAGCAATATCTTTTCTTTTTATATCAATTGTTAGTATTCAATGGTATACTATACATTACTAACAACAAAATAATATTGAAATGACATCGAAGGATCTTAAGTATTACAATACGAATGCAAGTTACGTTATTTTTTCCTTATGTATCAGTCATACATTTTTACATTTCAAGATTGATACGCGAGTCTTTGTTTTTCAAGTAGCAAGAATACAAAATATGAAATGTGAACGTTTTCGCAATAATGATTTATATATAGTAGAAAGGATTATCCAACGACGTTAGGCTGGCAGATGTCTTTATTAATTATATTCCAACGTTTCGACCATACGGATTGTGGTCCTTTTCAAGGAAATAGATGTTCTACAAGTTTACAGGACATTGCAGTGTGGAAATTTTTTGTATCGCTCATCATAATGTCCGTATCCGTATCCGTCGAAACGTTGGAATATAATTAATAAAGACATCCGCCAGCCTAACGTCGTTGGATAATCCTTTCTACTGTTAATAAACTACTGGCGGCTTACACTCATTCGTTGTTGATGATTTATATATGTCTGCACAGAACATACTTGCAAATAATTATGCTAAATCTTGCTAAATTTGTTTAATTTAACGTAATCTGTTTATTTAGAAATAAAAGCTTTTTGTTGGCAATGTTGACTTAAAAATTTTATTAAACAAACTGTATAATTGGTAGTACTTTATTCATATACATGACTCATTCTTGTATTTTCTAGATAAAGCAAAAGAAGTGATTAAAACAAGATGCGTATATCGAAGATACATATGTATATCAAATAAGTTTTGTATAAACTCTGAACATGCATTACGGAATACTGTGTATAAAAATATTATTAATGATTTAATAACTACGAATAAATAGAAAGAAGCTTCAGTTAAGTTGATGTATTTATCACTGAGTTTTTTTTAAGATTTCAAGTAACATTTGTATACCGCGTGTACACGTGCGCGCCCTTACACACACACAAACACACGCACGCACGCATGCATGCACGCACCCATCCAACCACCCACACATGTATACTGCAAGAAGAAATTATATACCAAAAATTATTGTACGTATAATTAGAAAATAAACGATTTTGCACACAATAAAAATTGACGACTCTCGATGAGCTAATTAATTAATCAGTTGTACTCTATATTTAACATACATTAATCGATCTTGATTCGCTACTTTCGTCAGTTGATTCATATAGAACATCACACAGATTCAAGTATTTATTTTCTGAATAATTGCTCAGCAATTTATCCAAGCTTTGCTTTAATTCACTAAAAGTAGGTCTACTTTGCGGTCTCATATTCCAACACGAATACATTATGCTGTATCTAAAGAAGAAAAGAAAATATGGAAATTTATATACTTGAAAGTTATTAGAGGAATATCATGTTACAATATACGCACAATTCTCGACTACAATTCGGCGGTCTTTCCATTCGATAGCCAGATTTGAGAAATTGCAAAATTCTATTTGTGGGAGTACCAGGATACGGCATGGCACCTAATGTAACTATCTCCCACAATAAGATACCAAAAGCCCACCTATAATTCAAAATTCCATCGTTGACAATCAAGTATAATAGATGATATAAAGTAGTGAAGTAGTGAAACACACGTACACGTCGCTGTAAGTAGTATATATTTGATGTGTTAAGGCCTCGATTGCCATCCACTTTAAAGGCAATTTACCATTGCCTTTCTTTCGATAAACATTCTCTCGATAGATATCCCGGCTGAGACCAAAATCTGAAATTTTCACCACTCTATCTGGTCGCACTAATACATTACGAGCAGCCAAATCACGATGCACTATCCGATTAGACGACAAAAATTCCTAGACATAATATTCATTCTGATTTACACGAAACTTAAGAGCGATAGTAATTATTAACATAGATTGTTAATATTGGTACGATCCGACTTACCATTCCGGTAGCTACTTGTCTAGCAAAATTCAATAAATCGGCAGAAGTAATATTCTCTGTGTATCTTATCACATCTAGAAAAACATTACGAGAAAAATTATATGCTTTCTGCATTACGATCGATTGTTATCTGCGGGTGTGATTTACCTTGTTGAATATCGTACAAGCGATTGGCGATCGTACGAGTATTAATCTTATAATTGGAGACACATTGTTCTGCATAATAGAAAAACTTTTCGTTTGAAAAGAAAAACATTGGAAACTGATTTTCGTAAAGCATATGACGGTACATAACGATCATATCCATATTTGTATAGACATGATTTTGTATTACAGGTATACCTATACTACTATACCTTGATCTGTGTTGTGTTTAGCAACAGTTGCCACATTAGATTTCAAGTGAGTTCTACATTCGAATACGGCATTCACTAAATTTTGCCAAATCTAAGAATAAAATTCAATTCTGGAATGCTTTATACATATATAAATAAAGTAATTACTTATTACTCAAAGGAAAAAGAGTTAGAAAGAGTATACAACTCACCGTTCTTAAATACGTTTGTAAATCACCCTTGCTACAATATTCCACTACTAATAAAGGCTTATCGTTCAGGGTGCAATATCCAATTAAAGATACTATGTTTGGATGCTGACCAGCGGATTTCATCATTGAAATCTCTTGATGAAAATTTGTTATATCTTCTACCGTTGGATTATCTGCACAAAATGGGAGTGAAATTGTCGAGCTATATATTTGTTTTTGCTGTTTAATGTTTCTGCAGGTGTAATTATTATACAATATGCATATGGACGTTATTGATTATTAAAGTACCTTTCATCATTTTAACGGCTACGTCTGCGCTAACGCCAAATTCATCTTGCAACGCGGCAAGTCTAACAATACCGTACGCTCCGCTGCCTAATATACCTTTAAGTTTCAGCTGTTGCGGAGCAAGTTGAAATTTATCATGAGGCAAAAGAGTAGCGAGACTACTATCTCCCGCATAATCCCGTTTTAAGGGTTTCTTAAGAGAATCCACAGAGCCCTGTTGGGAGCGAGAAATTACTATAATCTTTAACATGAGATTATCATTAATTTGATAGCAGAAACGCAATGTTGAGTTTACCTGAAAATGCATATATTCCATATTGGTTCGCTTATTCTTGTTTCTACGACGCTGTATACAGATTATTCCAAACACCACCGCAACAATCACTAATGTTGACGTGACGATGATCTCGCGATAAGATGGTTCTGCAACAATTTATATTTATATTATGTCTGATCGCGAGATAAAAATTGAATTCCTATACCTGATGTTTCGTCAACACTTCCGAATATAGTCGATCGTGAACTTATACCACCCATTGATTCTGCCACAATATTGATTTCGTATTGCAGTCCCACATCGACGTTAGAGAAGAGAGCTCTGACCGCATCCTGTAAAAGAAGCAAAAATGTCTGACTTTGTTTTGTAATTAAGAGAATAATTAACTTTGCCTTTACGACACTGACTCCAGATACAACCAGTAAACGCGGTTTGAATTGAAACGAGTCAAATTGCAACGTATAATTGTCCGGCTGTAGAATGGGTTTGTCCCAATTAACTGCAACGTCATACGATCCATCACTTTGCTTTCGAATGTACTCCGTTTGCAAACCTTTTACCTTTTCAGGTGCTAAGATAATCGGGAGAAACATCCGTTATGCGCTTGAATCGATCAGTTTAGCTTGCAACAGTGTACTTGTAAACTCACCACAAATGCTTAAATTGGGAAAAATTTGTAGACACGATGGTGTGACGAAAGTAAACGTCGTTGCATTACTGACTTTGGAAAAGTCATCGTTACCCGATTTGATCGATATAGTATAATTCTGATTGTACCGTAAGTGTCTAAGAGGAAAGCGGAAATCTAAAATCTGAAAAGACACGCGTGAGTAATTTAAGATAATATAAATACACACACTCTCTCTTACCTTTTTCTTAAAATGAATCAAATCGTGTTCCCCTGACCAAGTTAACACATCATAGCTACAGCTCCGGTCTAAAAATCACAATGCTGTGATGTAAAATACAACTATAAAAGTTTGAAGCGTGTACGTGTTTAACATGTGGCGTGTGTTACCTTCAACAGGTTCGAAAGCAATCTCTGCTTGTAGTTTGCACACGTTATTATCTTCTTGTTGAATTTTTACAAGTGAAATGTGTTGAATTTGGCTTGGTTGGTAATCAACTACAAATATTAATCGACTTAATTGTAACGCAAGTTGAACGGATATCTTCAATATATGTATATTTTTTATGTCTCAAGTTTGTATATAGCGTCTTTATGCGCTGAAGATCGAGCTGGAATGTTACAGCAAGGTAAGAGCTTTCGATTCGGGATTAATACCTGCGTAAGTTGAAAACCAATCGGACGTTTCGGCTAATGAGTAGCCGCGCTGTGTTATTCTGTGTAAACGATAACGATAAAGTGTGTCTGGTGTCAAGTTTGAAAATATCGACAATCCGGCATTGCTCTACGGAAAAAATCTACCTTGTAAAGAGAGGCAAACAGGCATAAACGCTTGGTCGCGTAACTCTTGGGAAAAGTGTGAAGATGAAGAAGACAAATAAAGAAAGCGTTTCATCGCGTTTGATCTGTGTTTCTTCTCAAAGTTGTAAAGTTATAAACGAAAGTAATAATCAATTTACCACTACGGCTGCACCCCAAGCGTCGACGGAGACGCTTCGTTGAATAACATAGCTCTCGGGATTATGTTTAATTATCAAGGTGTTCGTTCCTCTACAGTGTAAAGTAACGTTCGCGCCAGCTTCCTCCTCTATTCCCGGAGAAGCTACATCACGGAACAATTTTCTGTTTAATATGTGCAAGCAAGCAACATGAATGTATAATACATGTACTATCTCTCAAGTAGTACAGCTCAACTTACGCTCGAACCCGCCTGTAGGTTGCAAACAGTTATTTGGGCAGGTCTCCTGAAAGATGCGAACGCGTGGAAATAAATACATTATAATATAATGAGATATTCTAGGTGACGATTATGTGAGCGACGCAAGGTCACGTCGCACGTGGGTCGCTTCGTTATCTCTTGTCTACGTACATAATGTTTAGCCTAAACGCGCGATAAACTGACGCGTCATCGTTCACGTCCATGTCCATGTCCATGTCGCTGCAGCTTTTCTCGAAACTTGTGTCGGAGATTCTCTTGAGAGATCGTCATCGAATCGATAAATATATACAAATGTCGCGCGCGCCACATGCGACTGCAAACGTACATCGACGTACTTATTCTTTCGTCAACTTGGATCGTGTTATACATTATATTGCAGTAGGAAAGGAAAGGAGGAAAGAAACGCTTAAAAGGTCTGCTGAAAGATTTTATAATCTAGTTGGCGAGCATGACTTTCCATTCTTTGCCAACAAGTGCAAATGCGAAAGGAAATGCGAAAGAGCAGATAAACATGTTTAAAACAACTTGATGCATTATGCAGTCTACCGTCTGCCTTCTTTAGTTCAGTACTTTTCGCACTACCGTATTTTGCACACGAGGATCCATTTCAACTCAAGTAATAATTAGAATTGCCACTTGAAGCAGATTTAACGAGACGATGTGCGAAATACGCTCTACGCTTTAAAGAAAAGTAAACATTGTAAAAGCAATGTATCGCTCTCGCAGCCAGGTCGAGTACGATTTGACGTCCGTCTACTTTTCAACGATATTGACACAGGTGTCGAAACGAATGTCTAAAATGTGTTGAAATATCTACCGACGTACATACGCGTTTATTCCGAATCTCCGAGGAAATTATTGAATTGTACGTGTGCCCATTTTTTTTCTACAATGCGAGACCGGAGTTTCGCATCGGTGAAAAAAAAATACTTACGTTTCTACACGACGATAGACATTCCGCGGTGTCCAGAGCTTCTGGGAGATGAAATCCATAGATAGTAGTAATTGCACAAGAAAGTAACAAAAACGTCAACGGCATTCCGTTGACTTTGCCCAAAGACGCATCACCCATTCAAGTGATTTAACGAACTTAGGAGAAGTTTCTCGGAGGAGTTTCTCGAATAGAATAAGGAAACTACTGTCTCTCTGCCTTTTCGAGCTTATACATATGCACCACATATGCACGTGTACTTATTACTCCGTCCATTTTCAATTCGACACTGCTTGCACGCCTGGCGAGTTGGCAAGTTGTCCAAGTTGGAGTGAACGCCGATAACCGATCTATTTCGGCTTCATAAGATATTCGTTGGAGATAACACAAGTGTAAACGATGCGAAATAAGCACTTTTGCATGATATCGGCATTCCACCTGAGATCACGCCTAAAATATCACAGATCGTTGAAAGAGGCTTTATTTTAATATACAAACAGCGCGCATTCGAGTTAAATGACCCTCTCATGATTCGTGGTTTAATTTAAAAAAAAAAAGTAAAGAAAAACTGTTAAAACTCAACGTTTCGAGACGCTCCAGTATTATTTCAACGCGTACATTACTGGTAGACGGCCCCCTACCAGTAGTACCAGTGGTACTACCAGTCTACCTGCGGCGTACGGACTATCTTGCATGCTAATAAAAGGTGGGATCTGCCCTCCCACTTTTTCCCTCTTGGGAAAACTGCACACTCCATCGTCACTTTTACAAAGGATACCAGTTTAATTCTCATGAAATTTTGTTCAAGTTTTAGTAAATCATCTGTCATCTCTTTCTCTCTGTCTGTCTCTCCTTGTGAAAGAGACTGTGCTGAAACTTGTAATTATTTCACATCAGCTTTATTATTCAGCTTGAAACATAGGTAATCTAAGGACATGAAAAATGTCTTGCTCAAAGTACATCGAGTACAGCAACAATTAAAACTGATTGATGAGCGTGCAACATTGTTTACACCGCATTACTGTTCGGCTGTGAAAAGTCGGTTGTGTTTATGTAACAATACTTCTGATAAATATGTTTTATTCGTTGATATATTATTGAGAAAAAAAGAAGATGTGAGAAGAAAATGTACAAGTTTATTCTCTAGAATATTTATACAGAAAGAAAATTGAAGAAATGTCATCCATGGTGTGACACGTAACGAAGTGTTTGGGCATCTTCAAGTAAAGTGACATATCTCTCGCAATGTAAATGTGAAAAAGAAACGTACAAATGTCGCGTTGCCCCAACGACATGGGTTAGGTCAGACAGTTTCGAACATCCCTCAACGACTCTCCCCATTCTTCACTTGGTGTAGTTGGCATTTATGTAGTGGAAGAGGAATACTAAGAAAAACAGCCCAACTCCCAGGATGTTGCAGAATATAGCTAATTGTACGTCTGTAATCATCTGAAAGGGAGAGGAAACGGCGAATTTTAGATACGGTTTCAAGTTATATCTCCCCTCGATCCTCTCGACTATGACACACCGGAATGTCGTTATAAAGTAATAAAATTTTGCAGCGACCAAAAGTACTAAATGCAATTACCTTAAAAGCTGCCGGGCCTTTACCGTTTCTGCAAGATTTTCGGTAAAAAGCAGTAAAAAGTTCGTGCGTGTGCACCAGTTGCGTGTACAAGGGCGGAGTGATACATTCAGCGACTCCAAACAGTCCGAACTCTCAAGCGGATTGGCTGCCGGTTCAATTCTTACCGTTGGTTGGTACACTCTTTGAAAGGAAAAGGTTCGAGTCTCCGCTGAGCAGATTTTTATTAAAACTTACAAAAATATATAACGAGGATTTATAATAATTTTGGCTGTCGCTTCAACGTCGATAGATCCAATATTCTACTAGGGCAAGTGGTCCCAGACGTTTGCACGAGAGGATATCGACGTAGCGCAGGATTGTTGTTGGTCTGCGCAGCCGCCGTTTTAAAATCAGGTTTAAACGAGGCCTCGTCGTACATTTGTTGAACATCTAGAAAATAAACGTCACTTTTACACCCATTCTGTAGATTCCGCTGAAGCCTGCCGGATACTCACTCTCTGCTTGAGCATTATTCTTCCCTGGGAGAAGTTGGTATCTTTCTAAATAACGCATTGTAGCCAAGGACATGTTGGTCCCTTGCATATTGCTCAGCATAACATGTTTCAATGAGGAGGACTCTTGTTTCTGCCACGCTATATCGGCCAGTTGCTCGTCGCTTAAATACTTTAATGCCAACGCTTTCATATGCATACTCGTGTTCGTTTCGTTTACACCACTAGTGGCGTGTGTCATATTTGCCTGATGATCCAAACGAGGATAAATGGACGAGTCGAAGTCTAGCCTGTAAAGAAAATTGATGATCGTAATTCTATTTAATCTAAAATCCAAGTTACTATACATAGAGATAAGCGTACGCACGTCTTGCTGGCCTCCCTATGCTCGTTATTCTCGGTCAGACTAATCCCAAGTCTCCGAAGTTGTTCCAAAGTGGCTGCTTTAACGGTGTTCAGTGCCGCTCGAGTTTCCGTATCGTTTTCTTCTCCCTCGACGTTGCGTGCTTCGGCGCAATTTAAATCCTTGTCGCTCGCAACGGCGGAGTGCTGTAAAATTTCATTGACTTGTCCCAGAACATTGTTGTACAGGGTCCAACCTATCTTGGGAGTATGCCTCAGCTTGTCGCTCTCGTCGTCACTCGTGTATTCCTGCATCTCAACGTGGATACTTGGTTCCGGAGTTGGCGGTGGCCTCTCGAGGATCTCGAGGTCGGCTCCGCTGAGAACGATGCTATCACCTACACGGCCCCTGGTCTGTCCGACATTGGCACGATATTCTTCACCCGTCTGCCTACGATAGCTGTCCGCGTTGAGAAAGACAGGTTGCTCGACGTAACTCCTTTTCCCGTCCATCGTCGTAACGTAATCGTCGCTTTGTTCAACGAGCGCCTTGTTACCGCAGTCTGCGCTCGGCAACCTCTTCCCATCCCGCGCACCGTCGTCTCTTCTATCGTCTACGTGATACATCCCTCTGTGCGTGCCCTCCCCCTGATTGAGATCAGTAGACGGATGTCGATAAGTTTTCGAGGATTCTTTCGCGGAAGAGCTCGCGTTGAAATTACTGCTCTGCTGTTGGCTGGAGGACAGGTAACTTTCCGAATCTTCGACTATATTCTCCAACTGCGCTGTCCCAGGCTTGCGCGCGAATGTACTCTTATATCTACTAGCGGGCTCCGTCGCGTCAGCTACGTTCGCTCCACCCGCCCTGTTAACATTGTTACCCTCTCGGTGGGCCTCCTTCTTTTCACCGATTTCGGAATCGAGCGGAAACGGGCTGTTTTGCAGAGTGAACTCGAAGCTCGTCATGACGCCGATCGAAACCTTTTGCTCCACAAAAGCCTTTGCCGGTTGCTGCTCCAACAACGCCGTTTCCAATTTGCCACTTTCACCGTCGTTATTCTCCACCGCGTTTCTCTTGACACCGCGGCTCTGGTTCATCGGATACGACCTCAACACTTGATTGGCAAGAGGCTGCGAGCACAGGCACATTGGTTTGTTCCGGTAATTCTCTTCCTGCAGCCTCACCAGTCTATCTACCTGGAGCTGCAGATTCTTGATCTGCTCGTTTTGACTATTTACAAGCTGCAATAAGGTTTTCACAGTTTCGTTGTTGTCTACGGTACAATTCGAGTAGCTAGGCACATAAAACGGCTGAGGAGTCTGAAAATGTTGGGGTTTCTTCAGAGTATCCCAAGCGGTATCGCTGCTGTTAGATATTCCCGGGTGCCTCTGGTCCGGAGAGAAACGAGTCCGATTGTCGGGATGACAAGACTGTCGAGGTGACTCCGCGACGGTATCGCAACAGTGAAACTTGACGCTTTTCTCGCACGCTCTGTCGTTCCTGTTCCTCCCAACATTCGGCGATCGCTCCTGCTTGTTGTCAGCGCTCGCCGCTCGCTCCTGCCGCTTGTGCACAGTGGCATTTTGCAGAGCTAACGCGCGACTGTAGTTAGAAACACGCGCGGTGGTACTCGTGGTACTCGGCCCTCTCGAATAATTCTGTTCCCTCCAAGCGGCGTAAGAGTCGAGCGTCCCCGCATCCTTGGGACTTGCTTGGGCCTCGGCGGGCTTCTCGAAGATCAAAGAGACCTCTGGCACAGTCGGCGCTACGAGGCACTGCAAGCCAACGTCCACAATTATTTCTATCTCTCGGCGTCATATACGATTACACAACGTAGATATTTGACGGAACTTACATCGTGCTTGGCTACAGGTTTCGGTACGACTCTCGGCTCAAATTCTTCTTCGCCGTCGTAAAGCTGACGACGCATGGCCGGAGAGTCGTCGCGGCGCCTATTATATTCCCCGCAGCATTCGGGCCGTCATAATGTAGGAGACAGCGAAAAGGGAACGGACGGAGGCCGGTTTTTACACGACGCGTCCCTCCCGGCTGCTCGCAGCGGCCGTTACAAGTTTACGACGTTACATCGGGTGCTGTACCGAGTTAACCTTAAGTGCGGAGAGGGTGCAGAGCTCCGATAACTTTGGATTGGCGGCTCGATCCGCCATATGCTTCCGAACGTTTACGAGGGAAACTTGAATTATTGAACGACTATACCGATCCACCTGGACGATGCAAATGGTGTCGATCCAAGTGTAATGAAGCGAAAGAGAATACCGGCGACTTATGTCTCTCCTATAATATACGTGGAGACGCGTGGAGAGTGTGGTCGTAGAGAGAACATAATAAATCGGGACGGGGGCCTAATCGCGAGAGCGAGGGGCTCCTCGTGTATGCACGATCGATCGGGCGATTCGATCGAGGTGGAGGAAAAAAAAGAAGGAATAATTGAGAAGTAGCGCTAGGGAGTGTGGTAGGGAGGGCGACTGGGCGGACTGAGGAGTAAGTCCTGGGGGATGACGTGGGAATGACGTAGTAAGTAGGAGCGTAGCCGGGCAGAGCGCACTTAACGTTCACCTGCCCTCATCATCCATTCGCCCGCCGAGCGTGTTGCGCGCGCGTTTCAGTTCTCGTCGCCAGTCGTGGTTTATCGGTCAGGCCGGCCAGGTACGGGAGGAGCGGACGCGTGCCTAGTCACCTCACCACCCTGGTCGCCTTTTTGTCCTTACGGACGTCTCGTTCCTAAACGAGGACTCGAGGGAGGAAAAGCGAGAGAGAGAGAGAAAGAGAGAGAGTGCGAGAGAGGACGGCGAAAACATGGCAGAGAAACTGTACTACCCCAATTCGGAGCTCGCGAGGGAGGCGCACTGCGGTAGCATGGAACAGTACAAGCGAATGCACGAAAGGTGAGAGAGACAACGGAGGTCTCGGGGGTCGAATCGAAAATCGAAGCGTCGGCTGCAGCGCGTTGACGCGAGAACACGAGACGGAGGGGGTGCGAAAGGAGGATTAATGGGACAGGCGAGCCGAGGCCGCGCGTTTACTCTCGCGGAATATGAATGGACGCGCGCGCGGCCAAGGAACAGCTGCGTCTTAAAGGGGATGTTTACTCCCTTAAGTCGCAATAAGGTGTCCTACGGGGAAGAAGAACATTAGAGATTAGGGAGCGCGCGCGGCTCGAATCTTCGGGCGCCGAGAGACACGAATAGAAGCGCGATATCGATCCCCCCCTCCGTACGGGGTGGGACAAATTTCTGCCCCGGTGACACTGAGTTGGTGGAAAGAGCGAAAATGTAGTCTACGCTCCGACGATCTTAGACATTTGCAATCTGTTTATTTCGCGCGTTCGTAAATGTATTCCGATGTCCAATTAATGCGGAAATAACATGCACAATTCGACGCGGGTGCACCGAACGCGCATTAATTTGTAAATAAAGTAAAGACCGATGAATCTCGCGTTACGTAAGAGGGGAGAGGTGGATCGATTCGTTGGAGACAAATTAATCTACCAGCGCGAATGGAATTTGAATTGACACGGAGACGTTTGTCCCTGCCCAGATCTATCGAGGAGCCGGCGCAGTTCTGGGGTGAAATCGCTAAAGAATTTTACTGGGAGACGCCAGCGTTGGACGACAAGTTCTTCTCGTACAACTTCGATCTGAGCAAAGGTGACATTTTCATAAGGTGGATGGAGGGAGCGTCGACAAATATAAGCTTCAATCTGCTCGACAAGAACGTGAAGAGCGGAAACGGCGACAAAATTGCGTTTTACTGGTGAGACTTCGCTTTAGTTAGAAGCTTCGCTACGTTCCAAGCTCGACCCGACGCCGTTGATTTCCATGCAAAGTGTATATCCTGAAATAGTAGGTGCAAGTCATTGGTACGTTAAGCTCGCGCAAAATGGTATATTATGTCGTCACCGTGATAACATCTCTAGCTCGCGACGCGTTATCGTCGCCGCTCCTAGCAATGACGAGCCGTTCATTCCGCATTCGCTCGGCGCATTTGCAAAAGCGCGAGACGAAAAGGATGGCGAGTTTCGCGACATCACGCCTCATGCATATTTTATTTCCTACGTTGGATCGGCCATCGATAATGATAATGTAACAATGTCAGACTCGGTCACCGACTAGGCCAACGTCAGCCAAGCTGCCCTCGTGCCTCGATATTCCTTAATCGTGGATGATGATGCAATTTCGTGATATTTGTCGCACGCGGCGTGGCGCGACCAGTAGCGGACTCGAACGCGCCATTTGTTTGCCGAAAAATTCAACGTGGTCGCCTACACCTGCGTCTCCATTGGCCAACGGAGGTATCGCGCGCGATCGCGTCATTGGTTGCGTCACAGGTCTGCGTGAGCGCGCGACAGCACGATTCGATCACGCGATTCGCATTGGAAAAACTTTGCTCTCCTTCCCGTGCCTTTTGCGCTCGCGAATCGCTCGATACTCGAAGGAGCAAAGTCTCTCCTCTTTTCGTACGTTCCGCGAACGCGAACGCGAAATCTCTCGGAGCTCGGGGAGTCAACTTACGACGGAACGTCATTATGGAGGCGCGAACGTTGAAATCATTTGATTTCAATTTATGGACAGGAGCGACTGAATTAAAAAAATATCATAAAAATGCGTTTAAATTCAAATGCGGAGCATGAAATTGCATTACGAAATGTAAAGTGCAAGACTATTGTAAATTGTAGATGGTGTGTATGCATTGACACTGTAACCCTGAATTTAGAGAGGAGAACGAGACGAAGGTCGTTTTCAGCGCGTGGCTTCGCCGCCTCTAACGATCTCACGCTCGCACTACTATTATTATCATTATTTTTACCTTCTCTATAACGTATGTACGCGCATTCTCTCATTCTTTCTCGTATTCAAGCTGTCGCTTCGAATGTTACTAAGTATTCTTCTTCTCTTTTCTCTCAGTAAAGATAGAAAGAGAGGAGAAGGGTTTATAGCGGCAGCTTGACCGCAACCCTAGGCTTGTAAGTGTCGTCTTTTCGAGTCTAATGAATCTCACAATCAGGATCGATAGACTTTGCCGTTGGTTGCGTGTCATTAGGGAGGGAAACGATCCGGAGGATTATTCGCGACTGACGTACAGAAAGCTGCTCGAGGAGACGTGCAGGTTCGCCAATGTTCTCAAGTCGAAGGGCGTCACCGTCGGGGACAGAGTAGTGATTTACATGCCGATGATCCTGGAACTGCCGATCGCCATGCTGGCTTGCACGAGGATAGGGGCGATTCACAGCGTGGTGGTAAGCTAGACGACGACTCGGTATACCAAAGTATAAGAGCCCCTAAGAGAGAGAGAGAACTACAGTTTGCAGGATATTCGTCGGACTCGTTGGCGGAGCGTATCCTCGATTCCAAGGCCAAAGTTCTCGTCACTACGGACGGCGTGTGGAGAGGCGAGAAGCTGCTCTTGCTGAAAAATATCTGCGACGAAGCTATGGATAAGGTCAACAAGCACGAGCATCGCCTCGAAAGCTGCATCGTCGTCGCGCATCTGAGAAGACTCAACAATCCCCAGGGTAAGACCAAGGGGGTGAACGGCACTAGCAACGGCACGGCCGAGATGGCCGATGTCTCTTGGGACGACGATCGAGACGTTTGGTGGCACGACGAGATGGAGGACGCGGAAGCGAGCTGCTATCCAGTTTGGATGGCCGCCGAGGATCCACTTTTCATCCTTTACACGAGGTAAAGGTAAACGCAAAGTAGCGCGACTCTTCGCCGTAGACGCCCTTCTCAGAGACGCTTAACTTTCCCATGTCCACGTAGCGGCTCCACCGGCAAGCCAAAGGGCGTTCTCCATACCACTGCGGGATATCTCATCTATGCGGCAACGACTTTCAAATACGTTTTCGACTATCATCCAAACGACGTTTACTGGTGCACCGCCGATTGCGGCTGGATCACAGGACACACTTATGTAGTTTACGGCCCGTTGGCGAATGGCGCAACATCCGTCATTGTACGTATGCCATCTTACGTTCTCTCACTCTCTCACTATCTCGTACATTCGCGATAATCCTCTTGGACAGTTCGAGGGTACACCCTTCTACCCGGAAAACGATCGATACTGGTCCATCGTCGACAAGTACAAGGTGACGCAATTCTATACGGCGCCGACGGCTATCAGGTCGCTAATGAAATTTGGCGATCATCTTGTCAAGAAGCACAACTTGTCCACGCTCAAGGTAAATCTCTCGTCGAGCCGCGAGAGAAAGAAAATCAAGAAATGTATGCTTAACATACAGAGATACGCGGTTTTCAGGTCCTCGGTTCTGTCGGCGAACCGATCAATACCGAAGCTTGGCTCTGGTTTTATAATCTCGTGGGTCACGGCAAGTGTAGCATAGCGGATACTTTTTGGCAAACGGAAACCGGCGGTCACGTAATTACACCGTTGCCCGGTGCCACACCTATGAAGCCAGGCTCCGCGGTAAGGGACTTTTCCGTTAAGAAACCCTACGTGACAGTAGTGATTCTTTTTTTTATTCCCTTCTCTAATTTCGTTACACATGTCGAAACGAATGTGTGCGTATGTGTAGACGTTTCCTTTCTTCGGGGTTTTGCCGGAGCTTCTTGACGAGGACGGCCGCGTGATCGAGGGCGAAGGGGAGGGATACCTCGTCTTCCGTCGACCATGGCCGGGTATGATGCGGACCCTCTATGGAAGTCATCAACGTTTTCAAAATACCTACTTCGATCGATTCAATGGATTTTACTGCACGGGAGACGGTAAGCGCGTTATTCGTTCGATCGCTCCTTTTCGAGTTCAGTGAGATTATTTCGCGAAAGAATTTCGATATTTCGTCCCGACGTACTTGGCATCCTTACCAAGTTCCTCTTCGATTCTCAATATTTGATTATACTTGCCCATTCTTTCACCCCTGCGGAATTATTAAGGTATTAAATTGGCGTTGAAATTCTCTCTCTCTCTCTCACTCTCACCTGCAAGGTGCTCCGGCTTTGAATTGACCGGCGGAAAGTCCTACCGCCAAATCTGCGACGAAATTATCTTCTGTCTCGCCGTGACTCGCGCTCACCACATAGCTCCAATTGTTGATTCTTGCCATTTTCGCGCAATTAATGACCTCTGTCACAGTACCGATCTGCGAGATTCTTAATACGAGACAGTTTGCTACATTCCTGTCCATTGCTTCTTCAATCCTATCGACGTTCATCGCGGTGAGATCGTCGCTGACTACTTGAATCCCTTGGTGAACGATCGTTAACCAACCCTCCCAGTCCTCCTGATCGAAAGGATCCTCGATCGAAACTATCGCTGGGAATTTCGAGAGATACTTGAGATATTGGTTACGTAAAGCCTCAGCCTCCAAATAATTAGTAGGGTCGGAATCCTTCGTCTTGAACGCCAAGTCGTAGACTCCTATGTAAATGTGTCAAACACAAAACAACGGGTCTCTTTGTGGCTGTACATATGGGAGGAAGAAGATGTAATGTTTATAAAGGAACCTTCTTTATAAAATGCACTTGCTGCCATGTCCAGCGCTATTTTAACTTTGCCTTCGTAACCCGCGTCTCTGACGGAAGCGTCTAAAATGGTCAGAGCTGCTTCGTCGTTCTCCAAATCAGGAGCGAAGGCTCCGTCGTCGCTACTCGGAAGCGGGCCTCGTATTTGTTTAGCATCGACGATTTTTTTCTCCAGCACTCGATACACCTCGGTGGCCATTTTTACGGCGTCGGCGAAACTCTCGGCACCTGTGTCACGCGTGTGGGAAAAAAAAGAAGCGGAAAAACCCTTCCGACGGTTCAACCATTAAGAGTTTAGATCTTTTAAACAGTTTAGATGTGTACGCACCTACGGGTAATATTGCAAATTCTTGACACGATAAATTATTGCCGGCATACCGTCCTCCGCTGATCATGGTAAAACTCGGTACAGGTATGCACAGTTTATTGTTTTCAGCCAATTCGGCAATGTATCTGACAATGTAAAAGATGTAAAAGATGTAAAAGAACGAGATGGATTTAGTTGTATGGAATGGAATCGAAAAAATATAGCAACCTGTATACCGGTAGACCCTTTGTAGCCGCGCCAGCTTTGCAACAAGCTACGGAGACCCCGAGGACAGCGTTAACGCCAAGCCTCGACTTATTCTCCGTACCGTCCAGCTTGTTCAGCAACCCGTCTATCTCCGTTTGTCTAGAAACTTGTAGCTTTGACTTTATTAGTTGAGGCGCAATCACGTTGTTAACGATATCGACAACTTGAAATACCGAGCGACCGTGATAAGCTGCCGCGTTCTCGTCTCTGATCTCGCGCGCCTGATTCGGATTGAGCAACACGGTGGAAGGTACCGACGATCTGAACAAACCGACATCGGTGACGACGTCGACTTCCAAGGTCGGCTCGCCCCTGCTATCAAATATCTGACGAGCTTTCACCTTTCGAAGTGCCATTTGATAAGTTTGTCAAAATTTGTCGCTTTATCGTTTGGCTGATTTGGCCGATTTCGCAAATCCGAATCCCACGACCGGCTACATAATCTAGCAATTTTGATGAGCGCTACGTGCTACGTGTTCAGGTTTCGACTGCCAGCAGTCTTTCATCTGACGGTTGTTTGTAGCTTAATTCAGACGAGTTGAGATGATCCGTACATCTCCAGGAAAATTCCTTCTTCCTCTTATACAATAGTTTGAAATTATTACGTTTTGCTTTATTAATATTTCCGCTCGACCGAATCACGCGAAAATGATATATAAATTTTAGGAGCGAGACGCGACGCGGATGGATATCTCTGGGTAACTGGCCGTATCGACGACATGTTGAACGTTTCCGGTCATCTAATGTCAACGGCTGAAGTGGAAAGTGTGTTGGCGGAACATTCCTCGGTAGCCGAGGCTGCGGTAGTCAGCAAATCGCATCCTGTTAAAGGTCAATGTCTATACTGTTTCATCACTCCGAACGCGGGGACGACATTTGATGAAAAGTTGCAAGGCGAACTTAAAAAGAAGGGTGAGTTTCCTATTTCATACACGCGCGGCGATTATATGTAAAATAAAATATTGGTGACAACTGATTGAAATAATTTGAGCAGTACGCGAAAGGATTGGCCCGTTTGCACAACCGGACGTCATCCAACATGCCCCGGCTCTACCGAAAACAAGATCCGGCAAGATTATGAGACGTATGCTGAGAAAAATTGCGGCGGGCGACAGGAATATCGGAGACACGTCTACGTTGGCCGACGAAACTGTTATTCAACTTTTATTTGAATTAAGGCCATGCGTTTAAGTCATCGCGCAAGGCCTTCATTTTTTGCTGACGATAAGGAAAATGAAAGTATCCAGAGAGAATTTTACGAATTTCATCGATCGCGTTTGGTGATTGTCGGAAACATATCGCACCATTTCCAGCTAGAGAAAAATTTTATAAAGATAAAATTAATAGATTGCACTTTGAAGCCAATATGTGTATTCGCACAAAATCAGAGACGTATACTTTTTCGAATATCATCGTATATTTAATATTATATTATATTATCGGTCAGTAATTTGACAATTAACTGACGAACGTACAAAATGTGTAGAAAAGGACATTATTCTTTCGTTGGGTTCGAATATCTCGTGTTGTATACCTGATGTTGTCATTCAAGATTATAGCGAAATGAGCCAAAATGAAAGTTATTCTTTGAATACGTCTCCTTTTGATCCCTTTCGGCACTTGCTCTCGAATAGATGAAAAGGAACATATCGAAGAAATAGACTGTTGATATAATTAATAAAATTATTGGCCGCTCTCCTCAAAGAGTTGGCGCGGCTGCGATACATATCTTACGGAAGCACCGCCAGTAAGTAGCCAAAGTGTCCTTTTGTTAAGTCCAAAGTTAAGTTTCAAGTTAATGGCAAGGCAGAAAACGCTCAATACAGGTAAATTGTAATAAACGGCACGATACAGCAGATGTATATGTATATGACGCTGTTTGCACCAACGATTACTATTAGTTGAAACGACGAATGTATTGTAGCACATAGCTAAGCGATACGTTATTACCATAGCGTGATGCAAAGGAATTTATTTTGCTTTCTGCTACTTGATGTGTACATATTATACATATATTATGTAACATGTTAAAAGCTAAAACTGCTTGTGTACGCGTATACAGGGTGGGCTCTCTATCACTTTTGTTCTTTGACAGAGTACGCCAGGTGGATATACAGAGAGATGTATATGTACTTATGAATGAAAGTTGCCTCGTGCTCCTTCGGGAGTTACGTCACATACATATCATTCCTCGTGGAACAAAACAACTTTAGGTGTGATAATCAATGTATGTACATGTATTGTATTGTATTGTATGTAGATATATAAAACACAAGCGATGTGAGACAGAGAGATATAAGGCCATGTAACTACACCATTTATATATGTATATGTGTGTATGTATACATGTATACATGACGTATATATATATATTATATGTTAAAATTACGATTGTTCTGTTAAACGTAGAAAAGTGTATGTACCGTTTCTTCTCCAGCCTTCCCTTTCGTTCCTCGCATCGCACAGACCTTGCTAACATTTCTTTCCTCTCAGTGTATAGTGCGATGGATGAGATGGGTGGGATGGGCGGTCAGGGCGGTGGAAGTAAGGAAACCATCGATCGAAGCCACGTACGGGTGACTCGATAAATGAGCTAAACACCGGCTCGGCAACGTGTTTACTGCCGAGCCGGGTCGAGCCGAACCGAGCTGAGCCGAGCCGAGCAGCTGAGCTGAGCGTCGCTCGGTATCAGCTGATGGGTCAGACACGGGTGATGTCGTGTCACGTCGGTCGGTCTGAGTCAATTCGCAATTGCAATAGCGAGTCGCGCTTGTGCGAACGCGTGTAAAAAGCTCTCGTTAAGCATTTCTCACGGCGGATAAACCATGTCGAATGTCGACGGGTGCTACATTGAAATCTTGCGACTCGTGAAGCAAGCTGGCTCGGTAAGTAGATTAGCTCAACGAGATTGGCCACTGTACGCTGGAGTGCCTATATCTTATAATGTATAAAATGATTACTACGAACAGTAAAACATCCAGTTGGCTCTCTGTGAAAAAGACGATTGACTCTCTCTCTCTTTCTCTCTCCTTTTTATCTGCAGATCATCAGGGAGAAGATTTATCAATGCAAAGATGTGCTCACAAAGTCGTGTGACGTTGACTTGGTAACGAAATGGGATCAAGAGGTAGAGAAACTTTTAATCGACGGAATATCGTCCAGATATCCCGATCACAGGCAAGTTGGGGCAAGCTTTGATTCAACAAACTCTCTCGAGTCATCTAGATACAACTGCGAAACCAATCAAGGGAGAGTAAAGAAAGCTATAATATTTTCATATCTAACGACAAGGTGAATGTTTCACGGCAGATTTATCGGCGAGGAGAGCACCGCCTCCGGACAGAAAATTGAATTGACAGATGCCCCGACGTGGATAATCGATCCGATCGATGGCACGATGAATTTCGTTCACGGTTTGCCGCACACGTGCGTCTCGGTTGCGCTGCTTATTAATAAAGTAGCGGAAATAGGAATAGTGTATAATCCGATCTTGGAGCAACTTTTTACCGCTCGCAAAGGTCAGGGCGCTTTTCTCAACGGCGCCCCAATTCACGTATCCGACGAAACGGGTAAATTGTTCTCTATTTTTAAGGATTATATACAGTCTTTCCATTACATCTTTCTACACAGATTTAAATCTTTTGCTCGTACTTTGATTAAGTTCGGCTCGATGTAATCACTAAAATCGACTCGTTCAAACAATTTAATCCAAATAATACGCTCGAGTACGATTCAGCATCGAAGATACTGATCAAAGATAATATCGTTCCGTTGTTTGCTTAAAAAATGCTCTTCTTACATCACGACTATCGAAATCTTTCGATGAATGATAAAGAAATTGTCTAATTTAATCAACTGTCGTCACTCCAGAATTATGTAAAGCACTGCTAATGGTAGAGATGGGAACCAGTAGAGATCCAGAGAAGATGAAAATAGTCTTGCAAAATATAACGCTTCTTACAGCACGTGTTCATGGGTAAGACACATTTACGTGCTACATATATAAGAAAAGATTGCCATTTAACAAAGAGATTTATTTACTTGTACAGAATACGATCGCTTGGTTCGGCAGCTCTGAATATGTGCATGGTGGCTCTTGGCGGTGCTGACGTTTCTTTTGAATTTGGTATACATGCTTGGGACATTGCAGCCGGAGATCTTATTGTTCGAGAAGCTGGCGGTGTATCGATAGACCCAGCTGGTAAACAGTAATTCCAGCAAACTATTACGTGTCAATCAAATCGAATAAAGTTAAATCAAATATGATACAGTATAGGATGAATGTCTAAATAAGACAAAACTCATTCGTTTCGTTATGTTAAAAGGAGGTCCGTTTGACGTGATGAGCAGAAGAACATTGTGCGCATCATCGATGGAATTAGCTCAACAAATTTCCAAGGTATTAATCCAGTATTATCCAGAGCGAGATTAAGAAGCTTGAAAACATATGGAAGATGAACAAGGCTCATTGTTTCTTTCATCGGGTCAGATCGTTAAAAGTAATGAAAATATCGTTGTCTAAAAGAAATGTAAATATTTCAATTGATATTGTTTAAGAAATAAATTGACGAGTTTATTCATTTATGATATAAAGCCAACTGTATACACGATAGCGTTGTCGCATTTTACTATAGATGAAAATAAAACCAAACTAAACTTTTTATTATATAATTATATATTACTCTCACAAAGGGACTTAAAAATAGTATTACTTTTATCATTCTCTTATGACATATGTAATTATTCTGAAACATACACATGTAATCATATTACATATAATTAAAAAAACTCAGGAAATATATTTATGAGTAACAGAATGATTGTTTATTGTCTCCATTTCATGTTGTTTATTTGCTCGATAAATTAGTGTACAGCTTGTTGCTTCACATATCTTACATCACACATCGCGCATCCAAGTCAAGATATATTTTCTAAAATGAAGGAAAAAACTTTATTCTAAGAAAATATTTTGTTTATTTCTCAAGTTTTCGAGTATTTACATGAAAGATGAGAAAGAGAGAGAGAGAAGAGGAAGAAAGGGGAGCGGAGAAAAAGAAAGGAACAGAAAAAGAGCAATTGTTTCGAAAATACTGTATTTGTCGCATCTGCTTTTTCATTTTCACAGAGCGTGGGCTTTAAATATCTGAAAACTCAAAAAAATCGCAAATATTAGTAATATATAAATATTTAATACTTTTGTAGTTGAACAATTTGGTTTGCGATATAAAATAATTTTGAAAGAGGTATATAAGTGTATCATATACATTTGTGTAATGTCACTTGAAATTAATTTGCACAATTATGTGTACTTTACCTGTAGACATACTTACGAGTCCTCGATTGTAATCTCAAGTAATTTTAAGAGAAACCTTAGCGCGCGGATATAAATCTAGTTAAACCGTTGTATAAACCTTGTTGAACTGTTTAGCGACAGTGCATGTATTTTAACGTAGTAGACACGACGTAGGCGCAAGTACATCGCATTTTTCCTTTCCTCCTCATCAATCGTTTTCATCATCTCTTCCATTGCCTCCCCTCCTCACAGGGAGGGCTACAAGTGAAACATTACCAAATTGCCAATTAGAACGATACATATACTCCTTTTAATCGTAGTTTCATAGTATATTTTTACTTCTGTATTGAAACGTTCCCGAGAAACATATATCTTTTCTTATTTTGTTTAGTCAGTTTGATTTTATCGATATTTCACGTTACATTTTGTACGCTTTCGTTGAACAAAACCACTAAAACGCACGTTATGTACCGTGTGTTAGTATTAATTAATTTATCCAAAGTGTATTTGCCACATTTTACTTCTCAAGTTGCTCTTAGAAAAGCAATCTTGCAAATATTTAAATATCATTGCAACTATATATGTATAAGAGACTTGGGAAGCTCGAACGAAATTCTATTATATTCGAATAAGATTTTTATACTGTCGTGAAAAATTCATTAAAGCATATTTTTTAACTCGGATTATTTTCGTAAGACTTTATCATCAAATTGTACTGAATATACATTCATATATATGTATGTATATTCAGTACCACATGTATGTATATATGTATATATTTATATTTATACAATTGAGAAATGGATGTGCTAAGTATCCCAGGCAATCCCCCATGAATACCTTGTAACGGGATCGGCGCTAAAGGCCCTTGAAAGGTCCGGCCGCACTTAACGATGATTTGAATCGAAGACACATCTGAAACATAAGCAGTCTCGTACAATCTTGTCACGTTCAAGATCACGCCGTGAACCATTCACAACAGCATCGATATTCAATTTTAATTTCAACTAAACAACCAAATTTTCGAGTTTGAGAGTTTGATCTTAAAAGTAAAGTTCGTATAAGAAAGTCAGCAATTCGAGTGCTATACTTGCAGAAAGCAATAAGACTCTTAACATAGATTGCAACATGTAACGTTACAACAATAATTATTGTTATCTCGCATATATCTTGATGACCGCCTTTATCTTGAAATTTTGCGTTGTAGAGCAATTATGTACATTTTTACCTCTATTTAGCAATTTTCATAAATTTCTTTAATCATACATGTCATTGTTCTTTTCATCGACGTATACAAGACTATGCATTTGTGTCTGATAATCCATTAAACCCACGCGTATAAAATGTGTATGTGTATGTGTGTGTGTGTGTGCACATCGTACAGGTATGCATGTATGTATATGTATACACTTTCATCTATCTCTATATTATATTATCGCTGTTATAAAGTGGGATGTATTTAATCTAGAACGCTCTTTAAATTTCAAAGATAAAAATGAAGACAGAACCGAGGCAGAGAGAAAACTAGAAAGAGAGAAAAATACAAATGCTATAAGAAATACTTGGACTGAATATATTAATTCATGATTCAAGATTGAAAAGACAAAATGCAAATTATTCTTCTTATTGTATTAAGCATGTGTCGTTTTATTTCAATATAACTGACCTATTCGCTATACAATTTATCTTCCAATTAAAACAGGTTTCTTTGCCGCTAAAGCTTCTAATGCTGTATGTGCACGTATGCTCGCTGATGAAATATTCTAAAATGGACCGAACAATGTGATCCATAAGGGACTTACAGTTTATATATATATATTTATTTATGTATATATATACGAACCCTTCTCGCTTTGCAGGCATATGTAACGTACAATTTCACATGAACGCACGATCTATAGTCATTTTACGAAGGATGCTATTCATAAGGACGTTCTCCAAAGTAGGAGAATTGGAAAAGGAAAATGATATCAGTTCATGCTGAAAGAGGCGGCTATTGCCCTTTTATCTCCAATTATTTTCACATACGCGTTACAACATGGACTAATCTATATTAAAGCCATCATATATACATATATGTATATATGTATGTGTATATGTTGTATTGCTGTACAGCGTATACAGGTATGTATATATATACATGTATATATGTATATATATATGTTAATTTGTTATACAGGGTATCTGACACATCCCTACGAGAAATGGTAGATTGGGTCAGGCCGGGCTCGGAAGGCATGTCAGATAGCTTTGTGTACCAGATCTCTTAGCAACGAGATGAGCGAGTGGTGGAGCGATGCGCACCGGAAAAAAACAGCAAGCAATGCGTTTACACGTCCCGTGTCGCTCACCGCTCGCCTACCGCTTTCCACGCGCTTATTCGCTCAGACGTGTCAATAAATGATTCGATATCTATTGCGAATTTTGTAAAATGGTACACAATTTTTCTTCTTAATCTGACCCAAGCTACCACCATTTTTCGTAGGAGTCCTCTTGTGTCAGATACCCTGTATGCAATATGTGTGTGTATATATATTTTTTTCTTATATATATATACATATATATTTATATGATGAAATTTACTCAGTGTATTCACAATTATTATATCGAGTATAAAAATATTATACTCTGTCACATGCAATGAAATAATGTTTATTTCGATTCGTATAGTATCGGTTGCTCATGGAGGACCGATTTTGTGCAACGTTACAACTATATTTTTCTTTTGATGCAAAATTTTTGTTGCACACAAGCAACTTGGATAATTTTTTGCACCGCCTCTTCCTGCTACATAAAAAAGAAAGAAACGAATACGGATATTGTCTATGTAAAAATAAGAGTATTGGGGTGGAGGGAAAGGAACGCGAGAATGAGAGAAAGAGATAGAGAGAAATAGAGAAATATACCGCGCTTTTCTATCAAGTGACGTTTAACATTAATAGAAAGGATTGTTAACGGTATCATTTTACAAAGTTACGTCAATGAATTTTTCGAAGCTAAAGGACCCCAGACAGGGTTACCTATATCTTTTCTTGTATAAAGGGATGCGCCAGAGCGTGATTGACAGTGATTCTCTTTCCTGCATCCAACATCAACGTTCGTTCCAACAAATCCTTGAGTTGTCCGACTTTGCGATTTTGTTCCGGTGGTAAAGAATTTCCACCGAGTTCTGCGCTGAGATCGCGTGTTGCTGGTAATGTGGACATTACGACGACTTTTTCCTAGAAAACACGCTAATTAGCAAATATTTTTTTCCGCCAAGATCATCACGGTATGACGCATGTGTATTATATATTACTTACAGCGCAGCGCTGCACGACTCAAGACTTTACCATAGGGAATATAATAAAATTAAGTAGACTCACCCGTTCCGTAACTTTATCAACCTCATGATACAGAAAATTGCAGTTAGTGTCGAAATGCTGATCCTTGAACGATCCTTTTCTAATTAGTTTGTTTGGCATTTTGCCCTTTAGATCCATGAAGTATTTTAACATTTGGTTGTTTGTTTTCCCCGAGAACATTATTTTTCCCGTATATAGTTCGTATATGGTACATCCCACGGACCACATATCAATACCAAAATCATATGGTATACCAAGAACTAGAAAACAACAATGTTACTTTCAATACCAAATTATTTTCTGGAAAATGTTATTTCCAGATACAATTTCTTTTCAATCGCTCTTTCAACGTCGAGAATGCTTCAACTGATTCATAACATTTTAAAATAATTTTCATATAACGAAGTAATAATGTTCTATTATGTATATATGTTAGATGAGAGCGCGCACACACATGCATCGCTACAATTGTAACTATTCATTTCGGTTTGACTGGCACGAAACGAACAAGTTTCGAAACATGTTCCAAGATGTAAATCATCAGTTAAAGCTTAACGTATATATCATTAATTAAACAATGTCATCAATGTCACGTGTTTGATTTCTGCATCTTATAATTATAAATAATATCAAGAGAGAGAAAGATTTGTGCCAAGTTTTGTGTGTGCGTGTGTGAGCGCATGGAGGAGAAAGGGTGATAATAATTAGGATTGAATAACAAAGTAAAATACTTACTAATTTCGGGCGCACGATAAAATCTCGAAACTAAATATGGTGTTATTTCATTTTCATGGGCGTGCGATGCAGAACCAAAATCACAGAGTTTCAGCACTAGTTTACTTTCACTGACTAGAATATTATCCGGTTTGATGTCAGCATGCAGAATATTCGCACGTTTTAATAACTTTAGTGCTAGAAAAAGTTGCTGCGTATACGACCTTACCGCTTTAACGTGTAAGCCAACGTCTTTGCCATACTTCTTTAAAACCTGCCGTTTCCCAACACACATGATTATCTCGCATTATTATTTTAATCGTTCTAAAGTATATATACATCTGAGGAATAAACGCTTGTACGTACCTCTCTTAAATTCATGGCTAAAGGTTCGAAAACCATACACAAATGATTTTTATGAAAGAAATGTCTGAACAGACGCAAGCAGTGAAATCTATCCTCCGGATCAGCGTCGTTCAGCTTTCTAAGAATTTCTAACTCCTTTAAACCAGTTCTATGCCTGAGAGTAGGATGTAAGGATGAAAAAAAGAGTAACAGTATTATGAAAATAAGTGAGAAATGAAAATACTTACATTATTTCATTGTTTCTTATTATCTTCACAGCTACGTCCAAATTCCCTCTAGCGCTGTCTCTCGCTCTTACTACGTTACTAAATACTCCTTGTCCTGTATATCCATAGACTACGTATCGCGCATCTAGCGTTTCTCCTACGCGCACTCTGAAACATACACACATTGTGTCGTTATTCAAGCTTTTATTTAACTTGGAAACTTATCAATGACACGAAATACAAAGAAGATAATATGTAACTAACCGATAATATCCTTCGGCGTCATCCCAATTATCTGTTAAACTAGGATTGTCAGGTCCTCCTTGACGTTTTCCTCCTTCAAGCGTAGGGCTCTGAATAACAAGTAATCGGACAAAAGATGATACAAGAGATAAAAGGGCGAAACAAAGTGAAATGAAAGAAAAAGCATACATTAAAATCTCCGATATTATCTACTTCTGCAAACATGTCCCACTCGTTGGATTTCTTCAAAGTTTGCTTTTCTTCCTGTTTAAACCTTTCAGACGTCTTGACATTCCCAGTTTTGTCAGACTCATCTAATGACGTATCCTCGAATCTGGACTTTCTTTTTTTGGCTGGAGGTGGAGACTCTAATTTCTCCGTGGGCAGTGGCGGGGTGTGGCTCTCCAAAATAGATTCATTGTTATTGGATGGTATCTCTACAGACTTTTGTGATATATTAGATTGGCTCTCTGGAGAACCAGCGACATTGATGTCGGCAGACATGTTTGAATCTTCATTTGGTCCACTTAGTCTCTGAAAGAGAGGGAGAGACAGAATATTAATCAACTAACACATACGCATATTGTTACATGCTACGAAGAGACATTTACTTTGAGCAATTCTTCCCGTTGTTTCCTTCGACGTTCTATAATAGCTTCCTCATCTTCTTCTTCCTCGATATCGATATCCTTGATGTCCTCCTCGCTCGAGCTATCCGAACGTTCCATCTTAAGACCTTCCGATAAAGAATCCTTATACTTGTCGCCGCGTTCTCGTTTGCTGTTTCTTTCTCGATCTTTCTCGCGATCTCTCATATGATCCCTGACGTGTTGCTTGTCCCGATCTCTGCGATTTCGAGAAGGAGACCTGGATCTTTTATACCGGTCGTTTCGCTCCCTTTCCGCTCTAGCCCGAGTAGGACTACGCGATCTTCTCACGGTACTGCGAGATCGGTCTTCGATTCGATGGTCGTGATACCGAATGTCTCGTCGATCGCGGCTACCATCGTGTCGATCTCTATTTCCATGTCGATCTTTGCTTCTACTATCCCTTTTGTCGCGACTACCGTGACGGCGAGGCTCTCTGCTAGATAATCTATCGCGACTGCGTCGATCGTGACTGATGTGGCGATCTCGACTGTCTTGACGTTCGCGACTTCCCAGCCTGTCGCGACTCTTACTATCTGAACTTTTTGTCTCATTGTTACGAGTTTTCGGACTATGACGGGTGAGTGGCTCTCGTTTTCGATTTTCTTCTCTGTACGAATAAATGATTAATGTATCTTTCAGTAAATTACGTTGGCTAACGAACGAAAGAAGCAATAATAACTATAAATAACAACTTACCGTCTATCTGATTCTCTTTTCCGCGTCTCGTCCCTTCTTGACAAATCCTTACGTCTCTGCTGATCATCGTCTGCTTTTCTATTGGATTCGTCCTTTCTCGTATCTTCTTTCTGTCTCTCGTTAGTTTTTCGTGAACATCTGTCGTCTCTTCGAGTCTCGTCCCTTTTTCCTTCCTCTCTAGGGCGGACTTTCTCGTCTCTTTTCCTATCAAAATCTCTTCTCTTATCTTTGTGTGGTTCGCGGATTTTTCTGTCTCTAGTCATATCAACTATAACACGTCTTTCTGTTTTTACCACTTTCTTACGTTCTCTACTGCCTGATTTGCTTCTACCTCGTTTCTTCGGTGGTACATCATCGGTATCGCTATCATCTTCCACGAGTATCACGTCTGGTGTCTCTACTGTCATCTTTCTTTCTTCTCCCTCCTGTTCCTCCTCTTCTTCCTCCTCCTCCTCCTCCTCTTCCTGCTCCTCTACCTCTCCTCCTTGCAACTCCTTATTTTCCCCCTTTTCGGATTCATCCGAAAGATATTGTACTAAACACGCTTGCAATCGTTCCTACACATACAATGCAATTATAATAAATTCCAACACTCGTACAGGATGTCTCACGACCACTGGTTTACGCTCTAAATATGCGTATGCTGTGATACGTGTAAAAGTTATAATATATATTATAATCGTACATCATAGTATAACTAATATGCCACATTTTCTTCAATTTCTCACAACTTGGAAAGTGAAACACAAACGTTACATGTGTATGTGTTCTCTCTCGCTCTCTCCCTCTTGCTTCAGAGTCAGCATTGCGTGCTCCATTAGCCCTCAATTAACAACTACTCTATAACTATTATATTATTGAGTTAATCATAAACACACGTTTGCCTACCTTTTGTTTCATTAATTCCTCAAGATCAATATCATCCTCTATGATTGTACAATCCACTTCGTCGGAATCAAGATCGACCAACTTTTCATCTTCGCTTTCATCCGTAGAAACGACTTCTAATACAGTTTTTGTCTTTCCATTCATACCAATTCCTTTATGTACCGCGTTGGAAATTAATTTCTCTTCCACGGTACCGTTTTCCATACTTCTATCCTTTTTCTGTCTCTTATGTTTCTTGTGTTTCCGTCTGCAAAAAGGTATCGTTTCTATACATGGAAATTATGATCGATATATTGATCAATTGCTCAATTATATTACCTCTCTTGCTTGTCCAAACGTTCGTCGTCTCTTTCAATTAATTTCTCCCTTTTATGCTTATGATGCTTATGTTTTCTCTTCTTTTTCTTTCTTTGATCAATCACTCCTTCGGCATCGGAATCTAATTCCAAGGGTTCTCGCTTACATTCAGGGCCCTCCAAATCTGACGTGCTGCAATCGCGTGTCGAAATATAAATGTTTTGACGGAATAATGTTTGGTGAAAAGAGTGGGAAGAGACTGTTGATGCCTCTCCGCTCTTTCAACAAATCTCTCTGTTGATAATATTAAATCGAGTTCTCGTACACAATACACTTACCCCATGATGAAGTTTAGTAAATAATTAATAGATAAAACATAAAATCACTACACACAGCAATTCCAATGATCTAAATGAGTACGATCGGTAACGATCTGTAACGAACGCACGAATACACCAATTTCTCAGTGAGACGCCATTTTGCAAGTTCCGTCACTATATACAGAAAGAAGCCTGAGAGAGTAGACTGAGTAGACACGTTCCGTGCTTCAAGCCGAATTCGCTCACTAGCGCCTCCGTACGTACAAAATGCGTACCAGAGCGGCCATGCCGGCGTTTTGCTAGTACTCGATGCTGTTTCAAGAGACTGTCTCGCGCGCCTTTCATCAAAGAAGAAAATGTTGCGATATCCACGAAGGTTGATCACGGTTCATCCACATCATAGACTTCTATAGACGGAGCCTTTGTACGAGGGGTAACTGATAATCGCGGTAAGGGGATCACTCGTCTGACTTCGACTTTTTCCGGTGAGATTCGGTAATATTCGGTTCACATTTCCAATACGTGTGCACACGTCCCCTCCAATCATCCCCTCCAACTTGGAGTGGGGATGATCCGTTCGGCCACGCGCGCGCGCACGCTCGCACACAAGCAACGCGCCGTATATACGTGTTCACACGTATTGGAAATGTGAACCGAATATTACCGAATCTCACCGGAAAGAGTCGATGTCAGATGAGTCCTCCCGCGCCCCGAATATCAGACCCCTCTTGCCCAGAGTCGTAGCTAATGCTCCGTCTATAGAAGTCTATGATCCACATCTTCATATGGAACACTTCAGCCTCGTCTACATAGCAGTCGTAAAGTCGTAGTCGTAAGAATAGTCGACCATGATTGGTCAATTCTTATGTGTCTGACTGAATTGACCAATCGCAGTCGATTATTCTTACGACTACGACCATTGTAGACAGAACCGAGAATCATTGTAGCGGAGGCTTTAAGCCTCGTCTACATAGAAGTCGTAAAGTCGAAGTCGTAAGAATAGTCGACTGCGATTGGTCAATTTCGTCAGACACATAAGAATTGACCAATCATAGTCGACTATTCTTACGACTACGACTTTACGTCTTCTATGTAGACGGGCCTTTACGTCCAAAAAATCATCATCATCCCAGTCTATATGACTCGTTTTATTAATATAAAATTTTCTAACCGATCAAGAAACACGAGAAACTAACGAGCTATCGACCAAACCAAACAGACAGTGAAGTTCATTGGCTGTCGCAAATCGCAGAGACGCAAATTTTGGATTTGGTCAAACCTTGCGACTGGCGTTTGCGACTGCATTAGGGTACTATTACATTTGTCGTACGACAAATTTTTCAAGCGTGTCGATTGGCCCCTGAATAGAAAGTTTCTAGATACTCGAGAATTTTACTATCCTTCAGCCAATCAATACGCTTAAAAACTTTGTCGTACGACTTTGTCTTACGATCGGAAGTAGCGCTGCTTGCGTTCATGCGATTGGTTACTTGCGACTAAAGCCTATCACACAATGCCAGGCAACAGGCAATAGGAATAGAGAATAGAATTTTTGACGCGTTGGATTCGTCGGAAATTTTTCTTCAACCAATCCAACGCGTCAAAAATTCTATTCCCTATTCCTGTTGCCTGTTGCCTCGCATTGTGTGATAGGCTTAATGTAGAACGACCTTGACTCGCGTAGTACCGCCGTAGTAGCGTCAACATGGCGCAACATGGCGTTGGGACCGGCGCCATGTTGGTCTTTTCGAGAAGCGCCGTGAACGGTGAACACGCAGTGGGCTCGCCACATTGTGCAATTTAACGAATAAAGAAAGACGAAGCAAGACGAAGCTAGTGGGATCAAGATGTGTGCATCAGGTAAAAGACATATGTATAATTTGTAATAATTTAATCGATAAATAAAATATTTTACAATAGTTACATATGTATGATATAAGTTTACGTAAGTAACGCGAAATATACGACGCGTCCATTGGTTGATAATGTTGTAATGGCACCTATATTTGACGTCTCTCTTACCAGGTACGCGTACGATATTTCTTCGTTAACTGATGTCTCAATATTATTAACAATATTAATCCAAAGTAAATATAATATTATCGATACTAGTAACGAGAAACAATTAATGTACACTATATACTTGAAGAATAAATACTAAAATAATCTCTGGCTAGCTCTGGCTTCGCCATACAAATAGAAACGAACGTTATGTAGTCACAAAGCATCGTCACCATTGCCGCTGGTCGTGAATGCAACTCTAACGATGCGTATTAATGACGGAAAATTGATAAAACTGCTCATACGGTACCTACATTTTCCGAGCAGTCTGCTAAAAGCCTCGGAGAAAAACTAGATTATCACTCGGTAAACACTATCGTTTACAACAGTCTCGCGAGAATATTCATTTCAACATGCATATGTAATTGTTACACGATTTTACAGAGGAACGATTAGCGACGTTATCACACTAGAGACAGGTTCAAGCACAGTGATTAAATATACATGTTGATTTGATTTGTTTCGATGAGGAAGAAAGAATGAAATCGCAAATGCGAAAGGGATCAATTATATCCGCCGACACTCCACAATAGAAATGTTGAGAATTACACAAAAACGTACGTAGAAATGCTTATTCAAACAGCTTTTTAGCATAGTGCCAAATGCGGAAAAAGTACTCGTCTTTCCCAAGTAATCTCGCTCTCGCATACGAATGTATGTCGGCGTCCATATTATGCTCTCGCAACCATGAACTCGTGTTTTCCGTGCTGAAACTCACCGATGCGGTCTCACCTTTGTCCACAGCTTCTGCAATTGGTTCCACGCACGACAGTTCTGTCAAGGAAACCAATTTCACGATTTATCTCGAGTTTAAAGAACGTGGTGTGATGTAAGTAATATAATAAGACCAAGTAAAAGCAAAACTAATGAAATAAAATGGCAGAGGTTGTACCTGATGTCGGTACGATCTTAAAGGGTTCTTCCGATTCCAAATGATCGCTGAATCCGATCTCGTTTCGTGCGAAAATTCTCACGAGGTATTCGTGGTTCTCCTGCAGGTCTCTGATATTGAGTTTCTGAATGTCCGCGCTAACTCTCCCGACTTCCATCCACATTGTTTTCTTCGCGTCTCTAATAGCGATTTTGTATCCTTCTAGAGAGGCACCGCCGTCTGACTCGGGTCTACCCCATTCGATTACCATTGTATTCGCCGCAATCTGCCTCATCTCTAATGGAGCGGTAGGTGGTGACGGGACATCTACAAATGATTCATAGTATATGTACGTATATATTATTTTTATATTAATATTATTATATCTGTATACGGTAAATTGTCAATAGTAGGGTATAAATTGGCTCACTGGCATGAGTTTTTAGTGTGACCGGCTCGGAATTGCTCGGTATGCTCAGACCTATGCTGTTTTCAGCAAAGACTCTAAAGAGAAATTCGCTTTCCTTTAGGTTCTCTATACAGTATTGATGTGTTGTCGCGTCCAAAGTGACAACCTTTGTCCACCGGGCGCCTTTCCCGATCAATGGTTTCTTTTCGATTACGTAGCCTATAACGAGAGGAAAATAATAAGTATTCAATACCAAAACGGAGCATTTTTTTTTAAAATGAAAGTTTACGTTTCATTTGCACGTTGCATTTTGTTGCATACCTGTCAACTCTGATCCTCCTGTTGTAAACGGTGGTGACCAACTGAGAGTGACGCTCTTGCTTGTGACATTTGCCGCTCGAACGTTTAGAGGGCACGAAGGTGGTGCTAAACAAATTTTTTATTATAACATATCTTGTATGTACATACGTGTTTTACAGCTATTATAGAAAGTACATAAAAAGGAGAGGATGCAAAAGAACGGGAGACAAACAATAAGAATAGGAAACTTACTTTTAACGACCATTATTTTGGTTGATGGAAATATGCCTAGTAGCGCGTACATGCTGTTTTCTGTAAGCTTGATTATTTCTGAGCAAAAGCAAAAATAGCGAACGTGCGTTAATATATTATAATAATAAAACTACTATATATCGGGAGTTAATAATTGAGAATCGGTAGTAAGCTGATGGGCCGAGATACTTGAAGAGTTATAATTAATATATGTGAATATATGATAGAACTTACTTGGTCGTTTACCGACTGTAATCGCCTCCTCCGCTGTATACGGAGGACCAGCACCGACGTTGTTTCTAGCTGTTATTCGGAAATTGTATGACGTATCTGTTTTCAGATCGGATATAGTAACATTAGTGACCTCCCCTTTTGTACTCGCAATCTGAAAAAGCGCCACAGGTAGAGAAACGATTATCTCACAACAGTATTGTGACACGACGATGTGAATGTGAACCGTACTAACTTTTTTCCAAGCTTTCTTCGATATCTCTTTCATTTCAACGATGTATTCTGTGATAGGAGTACCGCCATCGTTCTCAGGTGATTCCCATTTCAATGTGAACGACGTTTTCGTCATTCCAAAAACTTGGAGCGGTCCTCTCGGCGGACCTGGTGTGTCTGTATATGTATACACATATCAAAACGAGCGAAAAATATGATTTGATCGTTATGCAAAATTATATTTGATTTAGCATTTTCTTCTAATACAATTCTCTTCTTACCAAATGAAGTCCTTGTTCGAATTGGTTCGGATTCCAAAGGATCTGAGAGTCCGACCGCATTTTTAGCGACTATTCTGAATAGATAGTCGACGTCCTGCTGTAATTTCTGCGCGCAGAAATTCTCAACTTCTTTGTCAACATCACCTACTTTTGTCCAAACTTTCTTGTTCGCTTCGCACTTCTCGATGGTATAGCTTTCCAATTCCACACCGCCGTCATCAATCGGCGGTCGCCATTCTATGGTGACGCGATCTTGTCTAATTTCTTTCGCGACAACTGGTCCCTGGGGTTTACTTGGTTTATCTACAATTATCAACATATCAAATATGTGAGTCGTTTTATAAATTTCGAATCTGTACTTCTGAAACTTTCATAATTCATAATTGAGTATAAACCTATGATACGAAGATGACATTCCATCGACGAGCTGCCGGCTTCGTTCGATGCTTTCACTGTATAGTTAGCTGTGTCGTCTCTGACAAGTGAAGGAATCGTAATAATAGATGTATTTTCTTTAGTCTCAATGGAAATGCGTTTATCAGTTATTTCCGTATTATTTATCGACCATGTTACTTCCGGTTTTGGGAAACCAGTCAAATTAATCTCGACCTTCCAATGATCGCCCACTGTTAATCTCTGATTCCTTAAATTTTCGTCGCAGGTGATCTTTGGGGATTCTTGAATTTTTAATCGACACGATGTTTCCGCCATTCCCGCATCATTTTGAGCTTTTACCGTAAAGGTGGACGAAGACGTCTCGGTCGTTTTTCGAATAGTGTATTTAGCCACGTGATTTTCATACGTAATGTCATTATCTTCGAAAGCTTCGCCATCTTTCAACCTAGAAAATAATTTTCAAGATACGGTTCGATCAATTAGCAACTGCCCTATTAGACAAAAAAAAAGTGAAATGAAAAATACGAAAATTTACCACGTAATACGAGGTGTCGGTACACCGCCAATTACGCAAGAAAGTGTGACAACCTCTCCTAATCCAATCACGATGCTCTTGAGTGCTTCAAGAACGGTCGGCGGCTCGGACGCTGATAGCTTAGAAATTCTTAGGTACGGCGTATCCGCAGATGCCTCCCCCGGGCCAGCTTCGTTAACAGCTGTTACGTGGAAGGTATATTCCTTGTCGGCGACTAAGTTTGTCAATTGATACGTAGTTTCGATTATCGTCTCTGTGATTTTGCTCCATCTTAAAATCAAGTCACTTGCTTCATTACAGATTGTAGGTATTATATATAATTTTTAAATACGTTTTTCGTTTTGTTTTCCTCAACACAAATTCATCAAATTTTGCGTTACTTACGAAGTTTCTGTCTTTTCACGATATTCTAAGATGTATTCTATGATCGAGGAGTGCCCATCTGAATCTGGTTTCTTCCAATGAAGCGTAATGCTATTGTCGGTTATTTCAAGAGGTTCCGGAATTCCTGGTGCTCCGGGTAACTCTGTGATGTATATATATACACTTTTGTGAGTTGTTCTGCTATTGATATATGTATAAATATGTATGTACAAATATGTGGATACTTACGCACAACAATGACGTTGATTTCTATACTGTCCTCTCCATGAGGATTAGTTAATTGTAAATTATAGTCACCAAAATCTTTTTCTTGTGCATCCCTGATCGTTAAAACGGCTGAGCATTCGTCGATGGATGGAATAATTCGCTTAGACTTTTTAAGAACATGACCGTTGACTGTCCACTCGTCAGTTGGAGTTGGCTTAGCCGTGAATCTCACAATGATATCAATGTCATCGCCTTTCATCGTTTTGTATTTTCTGAGCGTATCAGGGTAAATTCTAGGCGGTGTTTCAATAACTGCAACAATGGACACACGCGCGTGTACATATATAAAATAATATACAATTTATATAAAGACTAGAAAATTAGAGCATTAATACGATCTAGATGTACCATCTACAATATATATATGTATGCGCGTACGGAAGATATATTTTAAACCATTTGTCTTATAAAATGTACCTTCGATTTTTAATCTGGATGATGTCTTTACATTGGCAACTGTGGCGGTATATTCAGCAATGTCTTCGGTTGTGCATTTCTTAACGATGAGCTTCTTGATATTTCCTTCATCGATAATACTGTATTTCGACGATTGCGTATAATCGATTGTCTCATTTTTCCTACACAAATGCATATAAATCGTTATGCATAGAAATGTGTATGTACAGATTTGTTTCAATACATTTTTATAGCTGCGATAAACATTCTTAAGGAATTTGCAATCAACTTACCTTAACCATGTTACTGGCACGTCGGCACGTGATAACTCAATAAGAAAAGTTGCATCGGTGTTGACCGGTACTAAAGTAACGTCTGGCAATTTTTTGATAAAATCTACTTCGGGTTCTTCGACCGTCAGCCTAGCTGACGAAGTTTGGTCGCCAACTTGACAAGAATAGATGCCTGCATCTTCTACTTCGGTATCATAGATCTTCAATTTCTGTCTCTTGCCATCGATCGACAATCGCACGTGCTCAGAAAATTGCAATTCTTGTCCGTCCTTGAACCAGCGTACCAGAGCGTCACCTTTCGTTAACTCTATGTCGAAAGTCGCTTTCTCCCCTCCGGCTACAGTTGTATCTTGCATCTTGGTAATGATCTCCGGCGGTAATTCGACAACCGTAACTTCTGCTGTACATTCTTGGTCCGGAAGAGCGCATGTATATTCACCTTCATCGTGAACTGATGCGCTTCTGATGAAAAGTTTTCTCACGGTACCATCTTTCACGAATTCTAGTTTTCCCTTACTCTGTGTCAGTAATTCGCCATCCTTACGCCATGTAACGTCGGCCATTTGGGATGTGATCTCAACCTCCAGAATCGCCACGTCGCGTTCCTTTACCTCAATGTCCTGCAGTTTCTTGACAAATTCCGGCTTGGTGGCCCGAACAATAACGTTGCTAGATGTCATTTGGTTCTTGACGGTACACTTGTACGTTCCTGCGTCGGAAAGGCCACTCTTCTTAATAAGTAACTTGTGTATACGACCTTCCTGCATTATCTCGCGATGATCCATCCCGCTGATTTCCTTGTCATTATGCCACCATACCGTAGAAACAGTATGGGATGTCTCGCAGCTTAATTCCAGAATTTTATACTCATCGATTACGACTTCAGTTTGCAAATGTCTTGTGAAAGAGACTTTAGCAACATCCACCGTGACTTTTGCGCCATGAGAAGCTTTTCCGACTGGATTACTGGCGACACATTTATAATCTCCAGCGTCTACTTCGGAATCTGCATTTTTAATTTCGAGCGAGATATTTTCGCCGTCATAACTTTCTGTGATATTGGCCGATTTATCAAGCGGCTTGTTGTTTCTAAGCCAAGTAACTTCAGGAACGGGATTTCCAGTGACTTTGGCAACTAACTTAAAAGTACCTCTTTCCGGAACGATTATCTCTTGGAAACGTTTGGTGAACAATGGTGGTTCTGGGGCGCCACTTGGTACTTCTGAATTTCATAAATACAATATATAACATATAACGGAGAACCATTGCTACAGAGAATCTACTTTACATGCAAAGTTATAATTGTATATACATATATCTGCATATAGATATAAGTATGTATCATACCCTTGATAAATGAAACATGCTTGTCGTTTATACAATGTTGAAAGTTAATGTTGATCTGTGCTACGGAGTTAACTGAAAGCACATTAGAAAGCGTTTTGTAAAATTATATTCAATAGCAAGAGATACTTTGTCGGTTGAGAAGATGTTACAATAAAATGCAATTAATTTTTTTAGCTCATAATAACAGCAATTAACTACCGCGATCGACAGCAGATCGATTGTCGATTGATTCTCGAAGAAGCACATAAACACAAACGAAAAAAATGAACGTAATTAGAATAAAACAAGAGCGAAGCGTTAAGATGTTGCGAGATGCGATTAAAAAAATATTTAATCTTACTTTCAACGGTCAATGTAGCCCGAGTCTCAGCTTTGCCCATATCATTGATAGCTGTGACTAAGTATTCCCCACTATCTGCTAGTTGAGGTTGGATTAAGTTTAACGTATTAACATGTCCGTCTTGCTTTAATTGCAAGTCCTTTATCGGCTTCCCGTCTTTGTACCACATTATTTTCGGTGATGGATTACCGACTATTTGAGTCGATAAGACAACGGTCTCACCTTCCTTGACTACGTGAGATTGTAACGGTTCTAAAATCTCGGGTGGTTCGCTCTTTCCAGTTTTCACCTGTTTCATCAGAAAATGTATTAATTATATTATGAAACGTGCAAAGGTGAACCTTTAAATACATATAGCTTCATGTTGTCGACCAACCTTTACAGGAATATCGATAGTGGCTTCGCCCTCTCTGTTTTTAGCAATTATCTTGTATCTTCCTTCCTGCTTCTTTTGAATTTTAGTGAATTTTACGACGCTGCAGTACATATGCATATCGCTTTCGGTAGCAACTATAATGTTTTGTTCACTAACTACCGGTGCATCTTTATGGTACCATGTTATTTCTGGTTCTGGTACAGCAACTAATCGACATTCCAGTATCACATCGTCATTTTCATTTACATATTTCGCCTTCGGCTTTCGAGAAAATGTAGGTGGTATACCCTCCAATATATCCGCAAGAGATGATTCTCTAAACAATATGATAGAAACAATGATTAAGATTAAAACATTAATTGGAACAATATATGAAATATAACGCGATACAATATAATGCAAAGATTATAATTTGTGAACAAGTTTGTGAAACAAGCACAGTATTAGTTATTATATGTATACGTACATATATGTATGTAATTGTTTCACAAACTGTTATAATAGCACAAATTTACAGCCTTTTGGTTTTTGATTGTGAGCCGAAGCGAGCGACAAATGTGAACAAGTTACGACGCGAACAGCTGTTATTTCTCGGAGAGCGCGGGTGAACACGAGTGCTAACACAAGCCTCCCAGCTTGATACCAGGAATCTCAAAGTCTATACGTGAGTTATCTAACTGTATATTGTATTGAAAAAGTGATCGATTCTGGTCAAAGTAACGTGTTCAAGAGAGTAAGAAGTGCATACCTCGAAAGGCTTTTTCTCGACAGACCAGTAACATCCGATCCGTGATCTGACAAAGGAGCTTCGACAATGAGCTCAGTGGTACTGGATGCAAATCCTGCAGCATTTTTTGCAACGCAGGTAAAAGTACCGGCATCTTCGGGAAAGACTTCTCTGATTATTAAGGTAGCAACGTTATCTTCGTCATAATACATTTGGAAATCAGTAGATGGCTTGATAATAGCGGTCTGGCGGAACCAAGTTATTTGTGGTCTTGGTATGCCTTCTACTTGACACTCGAATTGAACAGTGTAACCATCTAACGTATGAATTGGTTGTAATTTCTCAATAAATCTTGGTGCTGAGGCTTTTTCTCCAGGGGCCGGCTCTAAGAAAATATAAACGTATCAGTATCAATACCTACTTTAAAAGCTTTACGTTAAATTTCAAATAGTAATCAAATTTTATTAGATTTTGCAGTTTTATAGATAAATGCTTACTCTCAAAGATTGGTAATTTATCAATCTTTTCATTCAATTTCCGTTGTAAGTAAATAGTGTAATGTGCCTCATCTAATAAATATTGTGCTGGTACCCAACCCTTTTCTTCAGTCAAGTGTTTCTTTACAAACCACCAGTCCTGATTGGTATGATCTACAAAAAGTAAATCTCAATTAGAGATGTTTCATGTATTAATTATATTGAGTATATACTATAATGTGTGAATGTGACGGTAAGATTTTATCAAATAAAGATCTTACCGATGATATAAACTCTTTCCCCTTCTACTAAATTAATAGCTTCTTCCGTCTCGGCAATATAAGAACAAATTGAAAACATTGTATCACCTTCACGAACCACATATTCAAGTTCGTCGACTAAAAGGAATTAATAAGTTATTTAAAATAGAATGTAGAAATATTTAAATCTTATATTACATAATATTAAATGCAAATAGACATTATTGAAGCAAACCTTCTTCGGATATTTCCTCTTCTTTAGTAATACTGAGAGAAGCTTCTTCTGTAATATTATACATAAATATCAAACAAGTATTGATTATAATACAATAAGTTGCTTATAAATTATATTCCAATCGTAATATTGCGAACTCTTCGACGATTACAGCATTTATATAGGCAGAATCTATTGAGTTACCTTATAAATAATGCGATATAAAAACGAACTTGGTTTATTCTTTAGTTGATTACCACCAAATTATTTTTATCACCAAGAAATTGGAAATTTAATTGTAAGATTGAGATTGAAAGCAATGCAAATAATAATGAGAAATATATATTTTAGATTAAAATTAAATTTTTCTTTTATTTCAACAATATTATTCTCTTAAAAAATCGTATTACTTATGGGATGACTCAACTTTTGTTCATGAGTGTGTACCACTTTGCTTTGAATATGAGTCTTTTTACATTATTACTTTGTAAATAAATTGCTTGTTACTATGTTAAAAATATATAATGCAACTACTACCGATATGCTTTTCAGACGCAGCGGATTAACGAAAGAGTTAAGGATAGGCAGAAATTGTCTTTTTTTCTACGATAAAAGGGAATGCAGTAATTGAGGAAAAGGAAAGGAAAAGCAAAGCACAAGAATAATGCATGTACACTCATTGCTAAAAGGGGGTTAAAATAATTAAAATTATTATAAATATTAATCATTATTATAAGTGGAAGCCTATTAATTTAATTTAACATGCTAATAAAGCATAAATGTATGTAGGCATCTTCGAACCTTCTTCGAACGTGGAAATACGTCTTTTGCTCTTCAACTTCAACGCCAAGGATTCAGCATCAGTTTCCTCATACGAATATTTTCTATCGCGTTTTAATTGCAATTTGACATTATCTTCTTCAATTTCCTCTACAGCATATGGGGCTTTTTGTTTCTTTTTCTTTCGTCTCAGTGGTATATTCATTTCGTCAATATCAAGTTCTTCGATGCTATATTCCTCTTTACCTTCTTCTTCCGATTCATCAATGATCTCTTCGATAATTGGACCAGAATCATCTTCGATTTCTTGAATGATTTTGATTGTTTCTTCGCCAGTTTCTTCAGAATATGTAAGTGGTCGTCTTTTTGGTTTTAAGCGCACTTTACCGGACATAGAAATATCTTCTTCTTCATATGTATTTAATGATATTTTAAATTCTTGTTCGACGTCCTCTTTTGTCTTTGTAGAACGTGGTCTAAATGTCACATTCTCCACTTCGGTAACTTCTTTGATATCCGGTCTAGATTTTTTCTTTGGTCGTAATTTACGTAAAGTAACATCTTCGTAAATTTCTTCAATTGGCTTTGGTGCTTTTTTCGGTGGTTTACGTTTCAAAGTAAATTCTTCAATTACTTCTTCAGGTTGTTCCACAATCTCCATTTTCCGAACAGTTAATTCTTCTGAAATTACATCTTCGATTTTTGGTGCTGGCACTTTTTTCTTTAACAATACATCCGTGGATGTCTCTATAATTTCTTCCACTTTCTTATCTTCGATGGGTTTTGTAATAGTTACTTCCGATATTTCTTCCGTTTCAATCACCTTTTTTCTTGGCTTAGATTTCAAAGTAACTTCTTCAACATCTTCAATCTTCTTTTCTACTACAGGTTTTTTAATTGTAACTTCATCCGCGACTTCTTCAAGAATTTCTTTTTTCGGCTTCTTCAATACTACTTTTTCGGAAACGTCTTCTGATATTTCTTTTTTCTCCTTCGGAATGGGTTTCTTTACGGTGATTTCAGCAGCAGCTTCCTCAGTGACCTGTTTCTTCTTTGGTTTCTTTTTTAACGTAACTTCTTCAGTGACTTCTTCGA